TTAACAGCTATTCCAGCTGCCTGATAACATCTAATAGAATATTCATAAGCCCAAAATGGAATGAATTATCTCCATTAACTTCATCATGCTCACTTAATTACATGCTTGTTATTGTATTTACACCTTGTTAGATACCGCTGAAGCTGATCCAGTGGCTGGCCGGGAATTGGAAGCGTCTGTCATGGGGCAGTTGGAGCGCGTTTTGTAGGAAATGCTATTTATTTTAAATGCTCCACCTGCTGGGAGCCGAGGTTAGTCAGCAGCACTGAGATGAATTGGGAAACGGGGTGTAAAAAGAAATAATGTGCTTCTGACAGGCTCCGTGGCTTTTAAGTTGCTCTCATTCAGCCACTTCACAAAAAATTATTTTATTCCATCTCTCAGTGATGATGACATGATTGCTTTTGGGTAATCATTTACCATTCTGATTTTATTTTTTGAAGTAAATTGTCTGAAGTAATAGGTTCTTGGAATTACAGCGTGCCTTGCTTTTTTCTTAGAACTTTATTTAAGCTTGTCTTCCAGCATTTAACCCGAGTCCCCTCTTTCGTTTGATCTTCTAACTTTATTTATACAACAGTGCTTAATGATCCTGCACAATGTGTTTTTTTCCCCTCTCTGCACCCCCCCCCAAAAAAAATTCTGTCCAGTGTGGTTGACAGTACTTTTTATAACCTCAGCAAGGGGGCTGCATGGGCAATTTTCTTCCGACATGACAAATACAAACACCCCAAACCCAACCCTGATAGAATCACTTCATCCAGTTGAAAGGAAATTTTTGATCTCTTTCAAGGTGACTCTTTCTCCACTGAAACATGGTGAGGGGTGCGACTCTCCCCTTCTATTTTTCGCTGTGGAAGTGGCATTCTTTACATCGTCTCACCCTGTTTCCTCCCTCCTCCTGTCACCCTCTGCTCTTTCCCACACTTGCACTGACCAGCCCTTCCTGGTGGGGGGGCCCTGCAGCACCACCACCAGGCTGCAGCAAACCTGTGTTTATTGATCATGAACCAGACCAGTAGTGGAGAGAATTATAATCACACTTCTAAATACTTGTCACATCAGCCTAGTAGAGTACTTGAGCTAAGCCATGGATATTTTATTCTGTTTGAAGGCTGTATTTTGGTATCAACAAAAAAAGAGAAAAATAAAACTGGAGATAATTATTTATAAGTAGGAATGGAGCTGGATAGTGGACTAAGACTCTTCAGCCCTTAGAAATCTGGTAGCGTCTACCATGTGACTTCACGGGCGAGACTTGGACCTCGAGGCGTTGTTCAGTCTGTAAATGCCTTGTACGCGGAGTGTGCCTGGCACTGTGCCTTGTGAATTTGTTTCTAAAGAACTGAATGGAAGATGATGGTTTTTATTTCTTATTTTGAGAAGTGTTTATATACTTGTTAGTTGATTGGGGGTCCGAATGCGTTTGTCTTTGAAACATGGATATCTCTTAAGATCTTTCAGATACTGTGCATTGCCCAGACGCCGTTATTGATTGATATTCAGGACAGAGCCGGCCAGGCCAGAGGCTCCGGCAGTTCTGTATACTTCGGGTGGTTTTAAATCATAAAGTGGCTTTCTCTCAGAATTCCTAAAGCTTCCGGCATTCCAGCCCTTGAGGCAAAGCTCCCGTTGCATTAAGAGAGGGAGGCTATGGATTAGAAACGGTGGGAAAGCAGAGAACTGTATGGTGGGAAGCCATGTAATTAAAAAACTGACTGAAATTATTACCTGATTTCATAATTGACAGAATATTTAATTCAGATATAGTAAATTGACACACCTCTACACAGAGACAATTATGACTGACTGTATAACACCTGACAGAATCAATTATAACTGACTGTTGTTTGATACCTTTGCACGGAAATAAATGAAACAGACATTCCGAACAGAGACGGCTCTGCCTGTGTGCCTAAGCCTGCCTCAATTAAAGTAAAATAACCACTAGGCGATGTTAAAATGTCTTTGCCTCGTGGTTTCTAGTTAAGTGTGTCTCCCTAAGTCCAAAGGGGTTTTTACAAAGAGGACAGCTGAAAGAGATTTTTGGCTTACTGATAGGGAAGTAAAATCTCTGAAGTAGAGCTGTTTTCCTTCGATGGGAGAATACTCCACTTTGTCAAACAGTTCTAACGTTTGATTGGATCCGTTAACTTCTAAATAAAATACTTAAGACAGGTTCATCCTGCAGGTGATGGTCTAGTTCCTCCCATATAGAAAACACTGTAACTTGCCTAATTGTGAGGTTTTTTATTCTAATCAGTAGAAACCACCTTTTAAATTAGCAGTTCATTTTAGTGTCTGGTAAAATACTGTCAATAATTAATGTCTAGGCTACCTTGTTCTTCACTGTTTTCATAAGGGTTGGGGACAGGATATTTTTGATAATCAGTATATAACTCCAACGAGTCAGCATGTAGAAAGCACCAGTAAGCTGTAGATACGTGTTCCTCAGAGGTTATTCCCAGGAAAAGTAGATTCGCTTTGCTGGGGTATTAAGATGAGTGATTTCCAGTGATGGTTCAGGCCACTGGAGTATATTTTGCCGATGCATTTGTGTGTAGAAAGAGCATTCCCCTCCCCAGATGACGAAGTTTGGATTTTTCGCGCTGGTTGTTGAGACAGCAACAGCTCCGGCCTGTGACATCTCTGTGGACCGGGCTGGGCTGGTCTTCGATGCCCCTTGACGGATGGCCTCTTAGATTCTCTTAACAGTTGTTGTCATCAGGTGCCTGACCTGCAGTGCCTGTGCCCGTGGCCTCTTTCCCGACTCCAAAAACCAGAGCAGGGAGAAGGAATCAGGTGTTCCTGGGCATGCTAACTGGTTTCCACCGTTTAACGCTGATATTTTCCCTTGAGTTCTACGGTGGTGGGCATAGCAGTGAACAGGAGAGCGGTTTCATGCAAGGCCTAATGTGGGGGGCCTAGGTGCCTGAAGGGGGCCGAGAAAAAGCACAAAGGGTGAGCCTCCCCCGCCCAAGCGCCTGTGCCCGCTCTTGCAGTTCTGTTTCCTAGAAGACCTTCCATATGTTATTGATTAAATTCTCATTGGGGAAGCAAGTGGGAGCTTTTATCTGCATGTCGAACTGGCGTGCAATGGTGCCTTGGCCGTATTGACCGGCTATGGGATATGCTGGCGGTCCCACTTGTCTTTTACGAAGAAGAGCACCAAGGGACGCTGGTTGTCATTCTGACTCTGCTCTATGGCAGCGTAAATAGTCCCCTTTCTAACCAACCTGGTGAGAAAAGTCAATATCCCATCAGCAGAGGAGGTAAACACATCAGGAGCGATGCCCTCTCCCTTCCTCCCCTGCTCCTGATTCCGGCAGCTCTTGAAACGTGCGCCCTAGTCAGCACCTGCACTTGTGTCATTCACATGCACGGGGCGCCGGCCGTGGGCTGGCCCTGCCGGGAGGCGGGACGCGGGAGGCGGGACGCGGGAGGCGGCGGCCGCTCCAGGCCATTGTTGTGGATTCCCAGACTCCGGTAATTAGAACTTTCCAAGTGTCTTTCTGTAGTCAGCTACCGATGCCCCCCCCCCCCCCCCTCTCTTTTTCCAACCCCCTTGGGCATTTAAATCCTAGCCACAAAACTTTTTGTTGCTGTTTCTTGAAAGGCAATTGATGTAATTTAGAAAAGGTTGTGGAGAACAAATGCGAATGTGTAGCTAAGGAACAAAAAACCTTGAGACCCAGCTTTAGTTTTCCCGGTGTTTTGTAGACTTCAGTGTTGCTCTGTTGTTTCAGTGGGCTTTTTCTTTTTGTGGTTGATGTGCACTCCCTTCCGTGTTTCCTTCCCGATGCTTTCCTCTTCCCGGGGCGCTGGGCAGCCTGGCTTGGCACAGGCCGGCATCTGGGGGCCTGCGCGTCTCATTCTGGGAGCCGGCATGCAGGGTAGGGTGAGGGCGGTGCACAAGTGAGTGTGGACTCTGGGTTCTGGATACCTGGGCTGGCATTTCTTCATCCCAGATTTCCAGCTGTGCGACCTTGGGCGAGTGACTTAACCTCCCATCTTGCTCAGCCAGCAAATGGGGATTTAAAAAAATTAAAGTCGGCCTCTCCAAACACCTCATGGGGTTCCTGAGCAGCTTTGAACCAAAACTGTGTCGTCTTAAGCATCCGGGGCAAGGTCGCCTCCCCTAGGGATCACCCTTATCCTCAACAGATCAGACCTCGGTGTCTGGGCCCTACTGCTCCTTTAAATGAACCAAGTGTTAAGAGGTAGCAGGCTCTGGGGAAGGAAAGGAACGATCTCCTCTCTGGCTGGTAGTGCCCGTCTCAGAGTGGGAAGGCCAGAGATGAATGGGTAGAAGCAGCAAGAAACAGAGGAAGGGCCGCTGCATACCCAAAGTTCACAGGCATACAGTGTGGACAAAGAAGAAGAACTCTTACCAATGGACAGGTGCTCTCCAGACAGCCTACCCCTCACCTCTGTCAACAGAGGTGTTTTGTATAGCAGAGGGACACAGACCGAAGGGCCTCAAAGCCAACTAGGCCCAGCTGCTCCTGGGACCTTGCTCTGGGAGGCTCTGGCTTCCTTCGAGACAAAGTCTTTCCTGCCACATCCATACTTGGCATGCGGTTGCATGCATATGCTCAACAGCGCTGCGAGAGTGGTGGCTGCAGGTGGGGCTCACCTTGGCTGCTGCACCGGGGCCTGCACCTGCAGCTCGCACCCCTGCACCTGCAGCTCGCATCAGTAGAGCCGGGCCCTGCCTGTCCCCCATGTGCTGAGTCAGCTAGGTGGTGACAAGTGGCGGGCAGGGCAAAGGAAGAAAGGCTCCCACAGAGGAATCTAGGGGTCTCACCCGCCCCCGCCAACCACCGGCATGGGACTGGCCCCGGGTGTAGACCAGCCACGGGACCATGAGGACATCTGAGACACGGAACTGCAAACAGAATCCGCACCCTCTTCTGTAGTGCTTGACCAGTAAATACTCAATGGTCTTTAAAGACGCTACCTCTGAGACTTGTAAACCTTTTATTTTTATATCTTTTTAGATAAGTGGAAGAAGTTTTTTACCTCCAAAGTTCGTCAGGACTACCAAAAACTCAAGAACACGGCGGAGCAGTTCTTGTCCCGGAGTGGCTACTCGGAAGTGAACCTCAGCAAACTCTTCGCTGACTGTGCCGTGAGGCCATGAGGGAGGCCCAGAAGTTGGCGGCAGGGTGGGTGAAGAAAGACGCCCGGCTTCCTGGCAACTCCACCACCTCCGCCCAGGCCCTGCCTGCTTCTCAGGCATCCCGTTTCCTTTAGGACCGTGCCTCGTGTTTGAGCACATGTGACTTGGGGGTGGGGGGGCATGACTGACGGGGGACCAGGGGACCACACCAGTCGCTCATCTACCAAGCATCAGAGAAGCTCAGAAGAGCCTTCCTGTCACAGTATAGACCCTACTATTGAAACATGGCCTAGAGCCCTCGGCAAAGCGGCTGAAGAGCTGGCTGCTTCGTATTTGGGACTGGATTTCGAGGGGAGGGGTCGGTGAGGGATGAGAAATTAATTGAGAGTGGCTGGAATGCAGGGGACCCCAGGCTTTGCCCCAGGGCCTTCAGCAGAGATGCCCCCAGAGAGAGAGATTTATGAAGTCTGGTAGGAGCGCTAACATTTTGCCTTTTCACACGCCAATTAAACCCAGTCAACCCAACTGTTGCCCCAGCCGCTGGCTCCAGGAGTGGCTGTCCTTTTCAGTCTTGTCTTTTATATAGGTAGCCGAGGGGGAAGATAGAGACGCCTTGCATTTACTAAATAGATTAAACAGAGCTTACTTGTTTACTGAATCGCTCCAGAGTTGCACGTGCACACACATACTGGGCAGGTGTTTTACACTCACATTCCTTTTTTTCCCCTTAAGTAGAAAGTCCAGGTAAGGTTTACAGAGTAGGAAAACACATTTAAAATAATTTGATATCCTATAACATTTCCTTCAAAATATGTAGAGGTTGGGGCAAGGATCCTTGTGTTGTATTCAGAAGAAATTGGGAGGAGGTTTGGTTAATTAGCCCTGGTGCTGTTTTGGTTTTTTCTTTTCTTTTTTTTTTTTTCATTTCTTCACAGTGGTGCCTCTTTGCTGGAAGCCAAATGTATTTCAATATAGCAGCCTTTCCATTACATTATTGGTAAGATTATACTAACAAAATATATTTCCCCTGTACACTATGCTATATTTTTTTAAAAAGGTCCACCTATCTGTTTTTCTAAAAGAAAAAATATGTTGTGCTTTTTTCCCCCCTGCTTAAATAAAGTTTTCTGAAAGGAAAGCAGTTGCAGTGAATCTTTATCAGGTGCAAAATGTTGGCTAGAGGTGGCAGCCAGGAGTAAGGGATGACTGGAGGCCATCCCCATCCCAAACCTCAGAAATCAGCTCTGAGATGCCTGAGTGATGTATGTCCGAATGTTCTGAGCAGCATTTGGGAGGATTTCCTGTGGACTTTGGGTCCTTTAAGAGATGAAGTAAGGTTTCTCATGTGCTTTGCTGACTTGGACAGCCAGAGAGCTAAGCCAAGAGCCCAGTGGTGTCTACTTTTGGAGAACAAGACCAGTGGCTCCTGGGAGAAAAGCCCCCCACAGGAGAAAGGTCACTCAGCATGGACCCTAGTGAATGCCCTTGTGAAAGCAGTGAGGATGATACCGTCTTCTGTCTTGCTTTGCTTTCTCTTTCCTCTCCCTCACTTTCCCCTCTGTATAAGAGACAGAGGTTCTAAGCAGAGACACTTTGGGTGTACGGCCCTGTCGGTTAATTAATGAATGCCTTGGTACCTCAGGCTCCCCAACCTGTCACAAGTGGGAGCAGCTACATTGCTTTGGGAAACGAAGGTTGTAAGTGTGATTTCCATGGTTTTTGTCATATAAGGTTCTAGAGATGGTTCTCCCATGTGTGCTTCTGGAGCCCACGCCCCTACATTGCTTTCTGAAGAGAAGGCGTATTTTCCTTGGTTTCTGGAACCTGGGGTTATGATAAATACAATTAGAGAGTTATCGTGAACTTGGTCATCAAGAAACTCCAGGACACTCAAATAACTAATTACTGCTCCGTTTCTTGTCTCTGCGTCTAGCCAGCAAGCACCACGAGGGCAGGACCTGTTTCTGTAGCAAATCTATAGAAAGTTAGACGTAGCATGGCCCAGGCCCGAAAATAGCTAATGGAGCCATAGATGCTTTCTCTCTCTCTCTCTTTTTAAGATTTTATCCATTCATTTGAGAGAGAGAGAAAGAACAAGGGGGTGGAGGGGCAGAGGGAGAAGCAGGCTCCCCGCCGAGCAGGGAGCCGGATGCAGGCCTCGATCCCAGGACCCGATCCCAGGACCCAGGGATCATGACCCGAGCCGAAGGCAGACGCTTAACCAACTGAGCCACCCAGGCGCCCTGCCATAGATGCTTTCTTGTTCAGATCTGGAACTCCAGTTGTGGGGTTTTTCTGGGAGGCACATATAGAGTCCTGAATTTTACAGAAAATTGCAACTGCAACTTTAAGAATTCCAGTGGATCTATTAGAACACTGGAGAAGCACTCACTTTTCTCCGAGAAAGGTTTCTACTCCTTGATTTTTGTCAGTGATAGGGCAATGGGTGGGACAGGTGCAGAAATGCCACCCACTTTGCAAGGGGGAGCCTACCCACATGTCTCCACAGGCTGCTGGGTGAGGATCTTAAGCTCAAGTGCTAACTAAGACTGAGCGGATGTAACGAGCCGGGCTCACAGGACAGAGTGGCAGGGACTGTGGTGGACCAGAGGGGCACGTCCTGTCCAAAGAGGGCAGAGGTTACTCAGTGATGCTGGAAGGGCTGGAGCCCAGGGTGGCCCCATGATCTGGTTTTCAAGAAAAGCCAGGAATCCAGATATTCCGTAAAGTGGCTCAAATTCTAAGCCTTGGCAACTAATTTTTTTTTTAAATAAAATTTTGAACACTGGGCCAGGCTAAACCTCTGGGCTGAATTTTATCTGGGCCAGTTGGGAAACGGTGCCCTAAAAGAACCCTGCTCCTCTCACGGTCCCATGCCTCTGAAAAGGGCACCTCTCCTGTAGAATGTAGGCAGTAGAATCTGTCTACAACAGGGTACACATTTATCTTGGACACCCACCGCTGGCTAACTCTCAACTCTCCTTCATTTAAAGGGGGCAGAGGGAAGGCCAGAAGTTGAAAATCCTACACAGATCATGCTCAAGATTTTAATTTGTCCAGGAAACAGAGTTAATCTTGTGACTCTTGGAGGCTAATCAAAGTTCACAGATGGGGGTTCGGGAGGGGATGTGGAAAGGGGATGAATCCACTTCCCTTGACCACCAAGCCCCTTCTCTTGCCCATCCCCACCTCTTAACCTCGAACACACGTGCACATCAACATGCTTTTCCAAGTGTAGCATTTAAATTCGTTTGGTGGGAGATGCAAAGATAAGGAAACTCCAGAAACACATTTCCCTATCTTGTGTCAGGGTTTTAAGGAAAACACACCAAGCCCCAGACCCTCCATTCAGTGCTCCCATCCCAAACTTAAAGCCACCTTGCTTTCCCTCCCTCCCTCCTCTCTCTCCCTTTCTCTCTCTCTCTCATTCTCTCTCTCCCCTCACCTAAATATTTCTTAATTGAACGGTTTGCTGTGGAGCTTCCTTATAGCAGTTTAATAGATTAACTCATCTGAGCCAGCCTCAAATTTCAGATTAAAATTCCTTCATCCCGAAGGCAGCATTATCAGGTTGTTGGAGGCTGTTTTCAAACCTTGGTTTTGAATAGCAGCGGCTCTGCATTAATTTAACCACTAAGCTAATAAGTAGGTTTCGTTTTGTTATGCTAAGCTTTATTGCTTTTCTTTTGATCAGAATGGTGTTGTTGAGCAAAGCAGCAGACAAGGCATTCTTTGATGAGGGAATTAGCGCTCCATTCTTCCTCTATTATTCATAGCACAGTGGAATATGTAAGTACCTGAGGGTGTCAAAGGAGCGCAGGTTCTATTGCAAAGTGCTCGCCTTGTTTCTCTCAATAGCTGACTATGAGATGATAAACCGCTTAATACACTGTGCTAATTGGATGAGAGCAAAAAGAGATGGGAATTAAGGCGAGGCAAAAGGAGAAAGTGCAGCGAGCCTTCAATTCACTCTTTCACCGCTTTACCAGCCCCAAAGGAGGCACAAGCTTTCGATAAGCAGACTAGAGGTTTTGTGCGGAGATGAAATGAACGTGTTAGTGGATTCAAGTAATACACTAATTATTGCACAGTATAAATACCACTACTGGTTTTATAACAGGGAGGTAAACTTCTTTTGAGAGGGTTATAGGATTGCTTGGCAGTGGTGTAGAACCTAATAAGGGCCCAGAGTAATAACCCCCTGGATTAACAAAATTGCTGCTTGTAGAAGTATGATTCAGGCTTTTACGAAGATTTCCGGAGCATGAATAAAAATGACTGAATGACATTTCTTAATGTATAACTGGTAATCGCTCCCTTTTCTTTAAAGGAAAAAATGTATACTTCAAAGTGGACCGTTAATAACGTCCAGAGACAACACAACTTTTTCCTTTGTAAAAGGCTTTTTCCCCCCACCCGGTCAGGTAGCGGGTTTCCTCCTCCCCGCCCCCCAGCCAGCCTACCGCTGGCGGTGAAATACGCAGTTGCTCCCTGGGACTCAGGGTTCCAAAATACCCTTTTAGGCCCCATTTAAGACCCCCCCTTCATCCACACACACTGCTGTGTATACACATGCACACATGCTCACGTACACATTTTTTTCCCCCTCTAAACGCAAGCTCCACGAGCCCATGTACAATTTCCTTCCCTCTAACATCAGCCCCCCTCTTCCAATCCGGTAAGATCTCCGCACTCAAAATGATACGAAAAGGAGAACCACGGGAGCCTCGTCTCTGGGTTCTACAAATGCAAAACAACAGTAATAAATGTTTGCCCCAATTAGGGAGGAGGAGTGGGCTAATAGGAGGAAAAAAAATGGGAAACTGGGGCCAATAACTGGTGACTTTAGCTGAAGTCTGAGTTTCAAGTCCCGAGTCGTGCCAAACCTTCTCCAATAGTCCCTCTCTCTAATTCATGTTCCTTCCGTTTTCCCCAGCACAAGCCTACGATGCCCGCCCCAACCGTCCACGCTCCAGGCCATGGGTGGTTGGTGACAGAAGAACACAGGGGCACCTTCTGATAATATTATGGCGCATATTATGCCCTTCTTGCCTTTCCTTCCAGGGCCTCATCCAGACCCGGCTAGCCTGCCTGAAAATGTAGCAAGTTAACTTTCCCCTTCCCCTCATCCTTCCCACAGAGGCTCCCAATCACCCCTCACCCCAGGACTCTGTAGGGGTGGCCCTGGGAAAGCAGGTGGTGGGACATTCTGCCCTGGGTGTGACGGGGGACAGCTATGCCCCCATCGCAGGGGCTCTCCGGAACTCCCCTGGGCTCGGCATGTCCTCCTCGGTGGAAGAGGTTTGCTTAAGGTTGGGGGGGGGGCGGTCAGCCGCTCCCAGCATTGTGACCGCGTTCCCAGATATTGGGGCCAAATTGGGTTGCCATTCATTAATAATGCTCACAATAAGATTAAATCATTCTGGAAAATCTCATAAAATCCCCCTAAGTACGCTCCAGTGGCTCTTTCCAATCCCCATCATTCAGCACTTGGGGAGGTTTGGAAGGAGAAGAAAATTGGTTTCTTTGCTTTTAATGCTTCTTTGAAAAGATACTCAGAGTTTGTCATGCGTGACATGTCACATGTTTAATGTGGACTTGCTGGAAGTCAGGGGGTCTTTAGCGTGTGATATTTATGGGGAATATTAAGTGCAGAATGAGGTCCCTCCAGCTGGGGAAAGTTGAAAGAATAGGAGGCCCAGGACCGGGCTTGTTTGCGGCATCAGAATGACATAGGATTAAGAGTTTGTAAAACAAGGCGAGGGGTTCTCATTGGCCAGTAATAAATGTAATCCTTGGAGGTAATTTCACGCAATTTGCTTCTGCTCCATGGAAGGGTCAAATGAGAAAAAATGACTTAAAAAAGAGTTCATTAACAGGAAGAATGGTACTGTTTCTCGTATACCATCCAACTGGCAGCCTGGAGAGGAAAAAAAAGCCGTACCTAAACAAAAAGCCAAAATCGACGGAAAATTGATATTGACCACCAAAAAACAACAACAACAAAAAACCTTTCCCTCACTCCCTCTTCTCCTGCACTCCCCTATCCCCACCTCCAAACTCCAGAGTAACCCTGCCCACGCCAGGAAAGGGCCTTCACACCCGGGCAGCCGGTGGAGCCTGGGGGTTTGAGGCACTCAGATCTCCAGGGGATGCCCTAGAAAGTTCCCGCCGGGCCTGCTAAAGTCGAGAAAGGAGTGTGTGGCCGCAGTGGCCGAGGAGAGGTGGTGGGCGGCCTGCTCCCCCCCGCCCCCCCATGCCCCAGACCGGGCTTCTGCTTTCGAGCTCCGCCCTTTGCGAGTCCGGAGCCGGGGCTCGGCGGCGGTGGCCCACCCGACGGCCCAGGGCCCGCGAAACCCGTGGGCGCGCTCCCCAAATTTCCCAGCAGGCGGGGGCTCCGGATTTCAGGGCAGGGTGGGCGAGCCGAGGACACCCGGGCCTGAGCGCGGCAGCTGCCGAGCGGGTTAC